GACCCCCTAAATTGTTACTTCACAGAGGTACATAAAACTACCAGCTCTTGATTTAAAGACTGTAGTGCTCTGTGTCTGTTTACTGAATGCTAGTTTTTGTGTTTTTAAATTTTTTGATTTTAATTTTCAGAATAATTCTAGGGATTGTCTGACAAGGAAAAGCGAGGAGGAAGCGAACAGATTGTCCTACCTGATCTGTTACGGTTTGAAGTATATGATGGTGTTACATTTTACACTACAGCACTAGTCTCTGTGGTACTACCGCAAGTAAAATAGGAAAGTTATGCAAAATCAGTTAACTTTCTTTGTGAATGCAGGTTTCATTCATACAACTGTAAATTTATAAAAATTAATTCATCCCTCAGGTGCTAGTTTAGTACAATCAGGACTATAATTGTGCACAGTGGAATCGTGCATGTGTGCTCACACCTCTGCCGTAATAAACCCAGCAACTCACAGCTCACTGATGTCAGACTATATACATTCTGCTGAAACTAGTTATCAAGAATTGAGATGATTTTTGGCCCACCTCAGCTCCCAGGTAATATGTAGTTTAAAAAATAAACCATATAATATACAGTTTAAAATCTAATCCATGTAATTTAATCGCAGTTATTGACTACGTTTCTTAAAATGACGGTACAACAGAGAGAGAGAGAGAGAGAGAGAGAGAGAGAGAGAGAGAGAGAGAGAGAGAGAGAGAGAAGAGAGAGAGGTAATCTAAGAGTATGAGGTAAGTCGCCGTGGCGGATATATACCTAAAACAAAAGCAAAAAAAATACCTTATAATCACTGGTTGAGGGGAAAAAATTAGCACAACATTGATAATGAATTAAATATTAATGTATAATTTCATTCACTTATTTTACAATACAGCTTATATAGCATTTTTTAATATCGGTGTCAATTTATAAACGAACTATAATTAGATATATGGTGCTATTTTTATTTTATTTTATTTTTTATTTATTGCATTGCCTGAGAAAGTCGTTTGACACCAATAGGAATTCCTTGAGGTGAATATACCTACAGTCTTGAAGAGGAAAAACCACGTACCCTCCCCCGTGACGTGATTAGGTAGAAAATGTGATCGCGTGTGTGTGTGTGAATGTGGCCCACATGTCTCTCCTCCCCCCCCCCCCCTTTTTTTTGCGGTTGACCAGTAGGCCAGCGGACTACGGGTTGGAGAACACTGCTCGAGTCGTCAGAAGGCTGAGACTCCATAAAAGTATGAATGATGGTGGAGTCACCAAGAACATTCTCTAAGGTCGATGACTATAAGACATCAGGGTCGGTCTCCATTACGATTTAAGGTGTTTGGAATTAGACATAAACTATAGAGGTAACGATAAGTATTTGTATTTGAATGATGGAAAAAGTAGAGGGGAAGTGGGGGGGGGGCGGGGTATGACGGGAATTGGGACAAAGGAGAAAAGAAATGATGCCTCATTAAGCTAAGCTTGTAGAGGAAACATGTTAAATACGTGTCATCGTAACAAATTTAGAACTGGACTTTAAAAAAAATATTACCTTGGCTCCAAGTCTACTCAGCCATGAGTGGGTACCAGGTGCAGTTTTGGAAAGTAAAGGTGGTCGGCCCGACGTTGACTGCATTACCTAAAAAGTTTCGATTGGTCCATAAAAAATTAGTTTAGCCCTATATACCAGTACGGATGAGGTACTTTACTTTACTTTTCACTTTGATGAAGTGTTTGCTAACTCCATAACGAGCCATTCATTTCTAGAATACTGTTTTAATCGAACTTCGTCAATAGTCTTCTTAGGGTTTACGAATACCACAAATAAGTTCTCATCGTGTTCGATGTTCTGTTTTATTAACTGTGGGTATTGTTTCAGTGCAGCTTCTTTTTTTTTTTTTCCCAAATCCTACCTGTTCTTATACTACATTGGTTCTGCCACTGGTCTCAGTCTCGTTTCTGTTATCTTGGCACACATTTGGTCAACGTGACTTGAAATAGGGATGCCTTAGTGTTAACTGCATTCACGCCTGTTTCGTTTGTTTTTCCAGAATTGTATATGCTATCGCATGTTGCCAGTCAATGAGGTGCTGTTTGTTGTACACATGCTGCATTAAATATTATGTGAAGCCATCTGGTTTCGCTGTCACCTGCTATGTGGATTAGTTCTGCGGACAGTCTATCAGCTCCTGGTGCTTTATATTTGGGAGAAACTTATTGACGTTTATTCTATTTCGTCAGTTCTTAAATCTGGTTCAAGCACTGTTGCTCTGTAGTCTTGACTTGTTCTTCAAGATTGATCACATAGGGGGTTAAAGAGCTCATTGAAGTATTCACGCCATCATTCTGTTATTTCTAGCGGATCTATTAATATCTTATCAATATTCCGTGGAGTTGCAGCTCTTATCTCTTTCTCGCATACTTTTGACTTCTGTGAAAACTGATTTTTCAGGCTGTTCTCTGATGTTCTATAATAACTTACAATTAATTTCTCTTGCTGTGTTTTCTTTACCCTCCGGTTGGTTTCCTTCAATTGCAATCCATAGTTTATACAGTCTTCTTCTGTCCTCGATTTTATCTGCTACTTTTCTACTCAGCAGCTTCTTTTACATCTTCGCATCACCAAAGTGAATATTTGTTGTAACTTCGTCAGCTTTCATTCTTTCGTTTTCTACATAATACCTCTGCAATACTAAGCATAGTGGTTTTAGACTCACTTGGTTTTTGTTAATTGTACCCACTGCAGGTGAAAGTTAATTTCCGCCATGGCCGGTCCCAAGCCTCGATGAGAAAGGAGGAGATTTGGGCGTGGGGCCAGGTTTCCCCATCCTGTAAGAAATTGTTTTCTACAGAAACTTGCAGACAGGGATATGACGTTCGGGTAAACAAATGAGCCGAGTTGTGTGTGACGTGTATGTCGATTATGGATGAAAAGCCCGTCTGTGGAAGTCAGTGGCCTGACATACAAACTACTTGATTGTAAAATAATCACTAGAACAGGTTTTCGAAATGTTAGGACTATGGCACAGGCAACAACAACAAAATACGCCCAGGTAACAGAAGAAACGAAGAGATACCAACTAGATTGTTTACAGTTAATTATACGAAGGTGGTCAGCAGCAGTTACAGGAGTTGTAGGTAGGTAGGTAGGTTCTACCCCACCAAGACATCACACAAGCGATAAACATCCGATAATACACAGTACCACCATGCGGATGAGGATCATCCGTGGAGAGGTTCTGGAAACCGCGTTCAGCCGTTAGGCCATATTTAAGGCGCAACTATATTCAGGGCCTCGGCAAAAGCCAGAGTGGGGATTCAAAACAACAACAAAATTGTATCCCACCTGGAAATGATTATTATTTATGACAAGAGTTGTAAATGGCCTTGTCCTCATAGACACTGGGAAAGACTACACTGGACTCATTTTGAGAAGAAGCCAGTAGAGAATCACCAAACAGACATTACAATGGGAAATACAGGCTCCAGGAGACGAGGATGCCCAAAAGAAACCCTAAGATAAGACGAACATTGATGAGAGATGCCACAGCTGCTGGACTGAATTGCTCCCATGATACTAAACGGATTGCGCAGGATAGAATGGAATTGAGGAAGAGACAACGCGCCCTATGTGATACATAATAGCACAACAAGGCAATGAATGAAAATTGACAGTTGTTTAAATGCAGTCTCTACTTTCTGTTGTAACTATTCTTTCATTCATTGTTTTAGTGTTGCTGTCTTGATGACAAAAACAGAATACCGCGATACTAGGCTACAAACTAGTATCAGTGAGACGACAGAAGAAGAAAAAGAGATCTCTTTTTTGATTAACATCGTTATGTGTTTCTTGAGTGTTGGCTAATAAACAGCAACCTGACTCGGAAACTGAAATAATTTGGTCATATCAAGCACCACGGTGGATCGGACCAAATAATAGCAGGAAGGAGGGGTATGGGGCCAACCAACACGAAGATGGGCATAGAATATAAGTGACTCCTTGAATATGAATCAACATGTGGCGGGAGAGCGGGCGAGAGACGGAGTTTCTTTTATGCAGACCGTGGTGAGAGCGAAGTTCTGCAGGTTAGCTGCTACATGACGATGATATTTTTTGAATGTGCGATGTTTTGCTGTTAGCACAGTTGTTTCATGTTAGTGTCCCGTGGTGTCCATTAGTGATTGTTCTATATCATCAAGCAATACAAGTCTTTACATGTTATTTAAATGCCTCTGAGTTTTGCATTTGTAACATTTGTCCCGTTTGTTTAATTTCAGAGCAAGCACTGTTGTCTACATGCGGTTTAATGGTCACTTTCAATATTTAATCGATTAAAAAAAAAGGTTTGCTACGGATGTTCTATTTAATCGACTTGGAAACCAATATCATGTTTTATTTGTCTTATTGATTTGGTGGAGGAAAAAAACCAATGACAACTGAAGAACAGACACTCAGATGCATTCTGTGTTACGTCAGGTACAATAGTAGCGTCCCTTGTCAAAGCTGTAAGTTTAGCTAGCAACTGTGTCCATCCCTGAAGAAGCTGCGTCGCCCAAAGAAACTTAGAAAATAACAGTTCAGACAAAAATGACACAAGCTAGACATCAATACAACTCATCTGTGTCTTTGGTGTATGTTTTATGCTTATATACTATATAGCTGTTTACCCAACACCCATGTAAACTGTAAACCTTCGGTTATTTCAAAGCTTCATTGGTACGATTTTAAATATATCTCATCCCAAAAAATTGAGTTAATCTGTTGTGGAAGCCGCCTGTGTCACCATCCATTCGAGGAATATAACAAGGAGAAGAGGGACGACGAGAAACGGGCAGACTAAACACAAGGTGGAAAGACAACATTAAGGACCCCCACAACAGCACGACGTTGGAAGATCAAGAAACAGACCTTAGATCTCCATGGATATCTAAAGTGGTACAGAAAAAGTGAAGAAGAGGAATGTTGTTGAGATATTACACAAGATGGGTTCAAACACAACCTTTCTATGTGTGCACCATTACATGGTAAATGGGTTTCCTACGCCCTATATCTCACTTCCATTCAGTATCGTTCTCCTTATTCAAAACCTTCTCACCATCATCATCATCCGCCGCACCCCAAAACTGCACACACACGCCAATATTGTGGTGGCATCCATTGCTGGCGGGGACATATATTTAGCCCTTGTTTGTATCACTTCTGGAATTGTCTACTTACCGGGAGTGAGGAACACCAAGCTGAACAACGCTCTCTTAGAGGCATCAATGTGTGGCGCAGGGTACTCGTCTCTGCTGTTATCTGTCAGCCAGTTGGGGCTGATCGCAATAGATCGCTACACCTACATCGTTTATCCACTGTATTACATGGCGCGCATCACAAAGCGACGGATTTATAAAACAATAGCATGTTTTTGGCTTGTGGGGATAGTTTATGGTTTAGTTCCACTATTTGTCTATAGAAACGCGTCAGATTACAACATATGTTTGATTACTAGACCGCCCTTTGAATATATTGCTGTCCCTATTGTACTGTACCAGGTGGAAGTCATCCTAATTTTTGTTTGTTATTTTATAATTGCTCGCTTGGCTTTTCAGCGTAAGAAAGCCAGTCGTGTCAGACAACTGGGTTTCAACGGAGGAATATCAAGCAGGGAAGCCTTCATTACTGGAAGAACAGCAGCGTGGAGAAGTGTGAAATTTTTCGCCACAATGTATGGCATCTTTTTTGCGTGCACTTATCCTGCTGTCTTAGCTATTCTCATCAACAGTGTGGACTCATTTCCCTTGTCTGTGTTCGTGCCATTGATGTTCTTGTTTTTTATGCATTCCATGTTTAATTTTTTCGCATACTTGAACATGAACAAAGATTTTTGTTTGGGTTTCAAACATTTGTTTATGCGCAAGATAAGAAATAACAGAAACTGAATCTGAGATTGTGAAACATGAAAACTTTTTTTAATCTTCAAATATAACAGTAATAAAATCTATGAATCGTTAAGGTAATGTCATATACTGTTTAACTGACATTTTATTTTCTTTGAATGACTGATTGCTTGGTTGGTAGTTTCGTTTGTAATTAGCATTCTCTTTGGATATTTTCTCCAAGACATACTGGTGTGTTAAGAAAGGAACAGAAGATGGATCGGCTGGTTCGGTACCACTTAGTGATAAACTGATGCATGATATATGGATGTTTTAAGGCCTTTTGGTGAACAATGCGAAAGCGCTAGTAGATCATTATGGTCTGCAGAGAATAGTGCATCGGAGTGTGATCAGACTGAAACTCATCACTCAGGGATAGTATGTGAACCATTTACTAATTTCTGCAGTGAACGAAAATTGTTCTTATCGCCGTGAGAACAACTACAAGTCAAGTCTACACCTAGGGAAATTGCAAAGTCAGATTTCAGCCCGGCATCAGATTTGTCGAGTTCCACGCGCCTGAATCTGGTGGTGTCGGCTGCCGGAAGGACCAGTTTGCTGGATCCGGCTGTACGTGAAAGCTGAAATATGATAACATTGCGTCCGTTACCGTCTCCGAGACTGGCACCAGTTTTGCAGGTGCGTATGAAAACGGCTGAACTGATGGTGTGCGGGCAAAGAAATGTTCGGGTGGCATTTGCGCCTACAGGATTGGAATACTCACAAGAACAATTGAACAACCTTACAAATAATCAGAACAGATCACTGCAATCGGATATTGTCAAAGACAGTGGTAACAGTTCTTTGTGGGCGTAGGGGGTCTCCGTGGCTGGCGAAATGATCATGCTTTTAGCTTCGTTCTCTAAAGGACGTGGGTTCTTTTTACGGCGGCGTCGTTTAGTTCATCTTCTACGGAAATCCCTGAAGATCGGAGCTACAGAGTTCGTGTGCTTTGTGCAACGCTCTCGACCGGTGGCTAGCCGCTCTTCAGAGAGGGGCCAAGCCATATGGGATAAAGCCTGGTGCAATGAAGTCGATCTTCACGACTTTAACTTTGTGGGCGTAGAAGACAAGGGGAACCAGTTTGCTGACGTTCCGAAGTTGTTAAACAAAAGTGTAGACCGGAGTCGGGGTACGGCGTTAACAGTGGTCCTACAAATATTAAGGTTTTAAGGTTTGAAAAACTGATCAACATCATGGCACACGAGCCGTAACCCATTAGAGCTCCATTCTTCTTCTAGCTCAAGTCCGAAGATGCTCAGCACAGCGCACAGGCTCTGTAGCACCGGCCAGGATCCTTAAATACTTTGGGTAGATTATTAACTCAAAATTTTGTACGGGCAGCGCCCTTAGGTTACTTTTTTTCGATTTCCAACTGTCAAGGGATTTTTTACGTGCGCAACAATGCACACAGGCGTCAAATCTCACTACCCAGAGACCAGGGTGAATTACTGGAATTCCAAGTCAACGTGAAAAATCATAGCCTTTATCAGGGATTGAACCCGGAACCTCTAGCACTCGAGGCGGACACCCTGCCTAGAGGCCACGCAGCCCCGACTACAAATATTAGAATTGATCATTGTATTAGGGACAGAGATTTGTATAAACATAAACGTTTACATCACTAAACAAGCACACCGGAATAATGTAGCAGAGTAAAGCTTTTAGTGCTGCTAACGACTGAAATCCTACACTGAATGAAAAAAGTTACCTAACCATTACAAACAGGGATGTGCATTATTCCGAATGGAAATATCGATGTTTTATACGATGTTGTTGCAGTATTTTCCCATGCTGTCATTGTCGGTAAACGGTAATTGTCTTTTATTTATTTGGGTGGGGTAAATTTGTGTTCCCACTGGGAGATGCTGACAGATTAATGTACTTTGTGTTGCATGGTTTTAAAATGAGTAGTCTGTGTTTCAGACAGTCATAACTAACGCATTGCTGTGGTTTCATAGACATTTAAAAGCTTCGTCTGCTCTGTTTATGGCTTAAGCGTTTCGAAGTTGCTTTTCATTTCTTAATACTATGCGATTCCAATTGCATACAATTTGACAGCAGACCACTTTACGCTGATTTTGATTGTAGTATTTAGCGCCGACCGTTTGTGCAGGAAGCAATGGATAAGAATTTTCCTGAAACTGAAAAGTGAAATCACAAATATTCAAAAAGTTCGGAGACCCAGCAAGCTGAAAGGGAACGCACGTATTCCTGCCGTTATGTCTAACGATACGTCACATTGCACTATTCAACGCTACACCAACACTACAGTAGCATACTTTACACTCGCTCTAAGTGCTTTCCTAATTTGTGAATGTTTTATGGTCATTGTCATAATTTGTCGGACGAAGAAACTTCACAGCAGCACAAACATATTTGTCGCATCTCTAGCAGTGAATGATTTGATATTTTCTGGATTCTTTATTGTCATGTGGATAACAACAACGCGCATCCGCTGGTCTAGTGTAACTCTTGCAAAACTCATGAGCACAATTATGTATTGTCTGTGTTCTGGCACAACTAATCAGTCAATAATGCACATGGCTGCAATAGCTATAGACAGATATATCCACATTGCTCACCCGTTTTACTACATGAAGCATGCAGCAAAACATCGCGTTTACATCATTGTAACCATTTTATGGATTGCTGGAATAGCTCTGACAACAATTCCTCCTGTTATTTTCACTCCGAAATTGGAATGTGTAAATCTCATTTCACATCAGCCAGCAGCTTACTATTTTCCTGGAGCCAGTGTGTATGTCATTACTGTTCCGCTTGTGTGCTTTTGCTACTCTAAAATTGCTTGTTTGGCTTTTAGACACAAGCTAGCAGCAAATGCTCGCAGAGCCAGGACTGATGAACTGCTGACAGACATCCAGCAGAGAAACAATCGTCAGGCGGCCCTGAGAAGTGTGCAGTTTGTGGCACTGATGTTTGGTGTTTTCACTGCCTGTACTTTGCCACAATTTGTCAGTACAGGAATGAGCTTTCTTATCACCATCCCAGAAAAAATATACCTGGGATTTTTCTTGTTCGCGCCAATTCATTCAGTTATTAATTTTCTAATTTTTGCAACCATGAACCGGGAATTTTCATCGGCCTTAATGGAAGCCCTATTAAAATATAATTGTTTGAATGTGAGAAATGAGAACAGGGCGCAACGAACTTCATAGTCACGTATCGTGACATTAGTTAGGTCATCTCCTTGCACAGGTGAACTGACAGAACAGACATGCCAGCACGTACCCTAAGAATGACAGTTATTATAATAACTTGTGGACCTCTCTTCTGTCTATAGGACACGTATCTAAGCAAAGCTTGGGCTGTCAAATGTGGTAACATTCAATAAAACACACTTCTAATGCATATACGTGTTTGTTTTCTTTGCAATGGAGGTTGGTTACCAAGGATTACCAAGGATATATTGTTATCTTTAGGATCATAAGATGACAAAAATATCTTTTTGAAGGTATAACTAGCATCAGAATAAATTAGGAGAATAAGAAAATGACACTGGTGTTAAGTCCTAAAGATGTCTTTTCAAAAATGTTGTTAAAAACTGTCAAAAGTATGTTATCGATGATACAAATAAAGAGCTGTTCGTCGTAAGTATTGCCCGTTAACACTGCGTGTTTTTGGGTCACCAGTTGCTGTTGACTATCGCCTGGTAAGACTGCGTGTCATTGAGTCATCAGTTGCTGTTGACTATCGCCTGGTAAGACTGCGTGTCACTGGGTCACCAGTTGCTGTTGACTATCGCCTGGTAACACTGCGTGTTATTGGGTCATCAGTTGCTGTTGACTATCGCCCGGTGAGACTGCGTGTCACTGGGTCACTAGTTGCTGTTGACTATCGCCTGGTAAGACTGCGTGTCATTGGGTCACCAGTTGCTGTTGACTATCGCCTGGTAAGACTGCGTGTCATTGGGTCACCAGTTGCTGTTGACTATCGCCTGGGAAAACTGCGTGTCACTTTGTCACCAAATTGCTGTTCACTATCACCCGGTAACACTGCGTGTCATTAGGTTACCAGTTGCTGTTGACTGTCGCCTGGTAACACTGCGTGTCATTGGGTCACCAGTTCCTGTTGACTGTCGCCTGGTAACACTGCGTGTCATTGGGTCACCAGTTGCTGTTGACTATCGCCTGATAACACTGCGTGTCATTAGGTCACCAGTTGCTGTTGACTATCGCCCGGTAAGACTGCGTGTCATTGGGTCACCAGTTGCTGTTGACTATCGCCTGGTAAGACTGCATGTCATTGGGTCACCAGTTGCTGTTGACTATCGTCCGGTAACACTGCGTGTCATTAGGTCACCAGTTGCTGTTGACTATCGCCCGGTAAGACTGCTTTGGCCAATGTCTTCAGATGTAATAGACATGCCCCACACGGCTATTTCATTCACAGTATATCCACATTGTAGTCTAAGCAAAATCGTTACTACTTTTCAATCACTGAAAAGTGACCAATGATGATGATTGTAATTTACACACTTCAAAAGCTGCTTAATGTTTTCATAATGTTTCATCTAAGCTGCGTAACCAACTGGAATCGATAGTAATTCATTACCATTATTCAACACAGTAGCTTTAAGACTCGACTGGGATGAATCAGTGAAAAACCTATACTCTTTAGCCAGAATTGTTGTGGCATGCGCAAATGTCATATTCTTATAAGAACAAAATATATTAGGCGGCTTCTGTTTGTTCCTATACATATACATTCTTACATCTTCTGCCACAAGATGCCACTGTTGCAATCTGGAACTCAAAAGCTCCGCTTTCTTTTTCGGTATGTTTAAATATCATTCAGTTCACTTTAGGTTATTAAATACTGTTTAGTGGATATAGTTTGTTCAAAATCTGCGTCGCTTGAGTTTGGTGGTTAAAGGCCACCAATATCCTCTTCGTCATCAGTTGAAGCAGCTGAAAACAATTCGGGGACTTTGGGTCATCGCGATGGAGTTTTGGACGAATTGTACAGGGGATGTTAGGATACTCCAGAGTCCATTTCTTTTTATTTGATTTGTCTTTTGCATTTGGACGAACCATGCAAAGTTAACAGCTTCTGAGATTATCAGTGGGCTCTCTCCAAATCATTAGGACTGCAATAAACATTGCTTACCCTTTGCCAGTCAACCACAGTTTAAGATTTGCTGCACATAAATTGAAGCATATGTGAGGCGCCCAGCTCTTATCTGGATCTCCTATTCTGCAGCCAAAATAAAAATGTATGCCTTTTTAATCTCTTTAATTATAATTCGGTTTTTTTTTAATTGGGGTGGGGCTGGGGGGGGGGGGTGGTTAGGGTTAAGGTTAGAGAAATATCACCTCAGAATATACATAACATAAATTATCATCGTTGTTTACACACGACCTATGCATTTCTAACTATTATAATTTTAATGAAGACAAAGACACTAGCTAATATTAGTAAAAATTTTATCAGAGACAAGATATTTTTACACACAGATGATGTAATCTAAGGTAGGACTACATCATCAACTTCTGCTTACAGTCTTATTTGTCATTTGTTGTTAATATTCTCATACTTCGACACTGAGTGGGCGGATGGCCTGATTGGACAATTCTACAAGCAGCAGTTACTCAATGCTTAAAGCAGCAAATGAGTATACATTACAGCGTTTGCTACAGCTGATTGACGAAATCTGGTTAAACGAATCCCCATCACAATAATGTGAAGATGGTGTCATTTTCAAGCTGTCTTAAAATGTAATTTGTCTGACTGTAATAACTGACGTGGTATCACGCTGCTTTTGGTAGCATGTTACTTAAGATATATATAAAAAAAATCAATGGATGAAAGGCTAAGAGAAGAACAATCAGGCTTTAGACCAGAATGGTCTTAAGTAGACCACAAAAAATTGAAAAAAAAATGTTTATATGTTTAAAAAACTAACGAAAGTTCAAGCAGGCTTCATACTAAAACTGTTTTGCGCAGACATTCAAAAAGCCTTTGACAGTATCCTCCGTCCTACTCTTTGGAAACTAATGAAAATCAAATTTTTTCCCTAACAATTCATCAACGTCATAAAATCCTTCTACAATAAAACACGCTGCAGTGTAAGAATAGAATCCGGCAAATCTGACTGGTTCACAGTGGACACAGGAGTGAAACAAGCCTGTGTCCTCTCACCGATGCTCTTTGGAATAGCAATTGATCGGGTCATGGGCAAATGCACAAACAACACTAATATAGGTATTAAATGGGTCAGTAAGATTCTAGACCTTGACTTTGCAGATGACATAGTGCTTTTGACTTCTGAAAACATAGATTTCAAGGATAAACCAAACCATTTTCAAAATTATTCAGGACAAATTGATCTACAAATTACCACCGCAAAAACAACAATTATTGATCTCACCAGTAATTCAGACAACATCAAACTGAACAATCACATTTTTGAAAATGTCAACAGCTTTACATACCTAGGGAGTAAGATGACATTTATAGAGGATTCGGTGCCAGAAATACCATCTAGAATCGCACTGGAATTTAGTGCGTTTAACAAACTGTCAAACATCTGGAAGTCACAGACATTCAGCAAACATACAAAACTTAAGATCTTCTATTCTTGTGTGATTCTAGTGCAAGTCTAAACTAGAGCATGTAAGCCTTTTATCCGATAGGCTTCAATACCATGGAGTGAGCCGCGAATACACACTTGCGAAACCTATCCGAGGTCCAAAATATGAGCTTACAAATATCACACGTAACACAAATTCTGTATTTAGTTGAAAAGCTTAAAAGGCTTTCAGACTATTGGCTGAACCATAGATTAAAGAAGAAAAACTATCAAGAAAAAAGTATAAATAATTTTACAAGAGAAACTTTAACACGGCATGCAAATATAAAAGTGACATAATGATGTGTGAAGCTCTTCCACCAGAACCATGGATTAACTGTACATTCTTTTCCATTTGCCAAAGACCTCTGGGTGACCTTGATGGTCCCTGGCTCGTAACTGGACCTATGACAGACAAACTAACTTTGACACACACTGAACCTGGAAAAGTCAGAACAAAGAGATTTTTCACTTCAAATACTCAGAAATCGGTACCCTTCCAATATTGGGACAGGTACGTTTACAGGCAGTTTTTGAAGCCACAAACAGGAGACGGCCGAATCTTGATCTCTCTCTCTCTCTCACACACACACACACACGCACACAAACACACACACACAACACACACACTAACACACAAAACACACACACAAACACACAAACACACACACAAATTGCAAGACAGAGACACACTCAGTAATGACATGGGAAATGTGCACCTACTTCAGCGCAAAGGCAGCAGTCCTCCGTTTTACTGAACGGACCCAAAATACTCCAGTTCAACTAAAAAAAAATACACTTAGCTGTCCTATTCACATACGTAAAATCTATCCTCTGCATCATGTTACGAGCTAAATAGGATAACAACAAAATAAAATGCACAAGAACAAAACTATTCATTCATTGATATTCAACCTACAATGGATCCCTAGAAATAGGCAAACTCATGAAGACTATAGGAAAACTTCTGTAGTCCTTCTATCTCAGGGCTTCAAAACACCGAAGACAAACTTAAAACAATCTTTGAAGTTAAACCGGGGAGAAAACTAGGAAAATTAGAGAACAGTCATGTTGTAAGTCGAGGACAAAGACAGCGATGTAAAACAAAATTGCCATTGTATAATTCTTTTTTTGTCTGAATACAGAAGGTACATTTCAAGGCAAGGAAGAGACTCGAGCACTCGAACAGGATAACGAATTATGCCAGCATTGCCTGGGGGGGGGGGGGGGTGATGGTTAAACCAATAACGTTTAGGCAATCCTGTCTTTTACAAGACGTTGCAGAACCAAACCCATATTTTTTTTTTTTTTTTTTTTTTGCTGTTGAGGTTGTTCTAGGCAAATGTTACATTCAGTTGCTTTCTAAACGGTCAGCTCTTGGTACCACTGTTGAAACCAACGCAAGACAAATCATCCGCAGCTGGAGTTGAACAGGTAAAAGTAGCTTCAACAAAATGGCAAAAGAAACATGGCGCACTGCGTTGTGTGATGACAGTGGACACACTGCAGGACTACTTTTGATCCTATGATCTTGATCATCTCAATGATAGATTTTGGACTGGGGCTGTATATGGTCTCAAAAAGCCA